GGGGGGGGGGGAAGGGGGAGCGCGGCCTGCTGCAAGCTGGTGCCTCTCCGCCCAAACTCGTCGCTTCGCCCTGCCGAGTTGACGGCGCGCTTGGAGGCGTCGCCTCGCGCCTGCGGGACGTGTCTCGGACATGTCGTGGACGTGTCGCGGACACGGCGCGCTTGGAGGCGTTTGCCATATCCCCCCACATCTCCCCATATCTCCCCACATCTCCCCATATCCGGGGACTGACTACCTGAGACACCGACACTGGCCGTCGCCTGTCCGCCTGCCTGCCCGCTCTCGACGGTGTGTGTGTGTGTGTGTAGCATTGGGCCCGGGGGTCGTCGCGCGCTGTTGTGTGAGGTCATCATTTCGGCTAAGCGTGGCTCCTCCTCTCGCCTCCTCTCGCCTCCTCTCGCCCCCTCTCCTCTCCTCCTCTCGGCTCCTCTCGGCCCCTCTCGCCTCCTCTCGCCTCCTCTCTGCCTCCTCTCGCCTCCTCTCGCCCCCTCTCGCCTCCTCTCGGCCCCTCTCGGCTCCTCTCGCCTCCTCTCGGCTCCTCTCGCCTCCTCTCGGCCTCCTCTCGCCCCCTCTCGCCTCCTCTCGGCCCCTCTCGCCTCCTCTCGGCCCCTCTCGGCTCCTCTCGCCTCCTCTCGGCTCCTCTCGCCTCCTCTCGGCCTCCTCTCGCCCCCTCTCGCCTCCTCTCGGCCCCTCTCGGCTCCTCTCGCCTCCTCTCGCCTCCTCTCGCCTCCTCTCGCCTCCTCTCGCCTCCTCTCCTCTCCTCCTCTCGGCTCCTCTCGGCTCCTCTCGCCTCCTCTCGGCTCCTCTCGCCTCCTCTCGCCTCCTCTCGGCTCCTCTCGCCTCCTCTCGCCTCCTCTCAGCTACCCTCTCGGCTCCTCTCGGCGCCTCAGCGCCGACCCAATCGATCTCGAGGACGGCAGTCACCGAGGAGGGGGAGCCCTCGGGGCCTACATGCTCGAGATTGGCCCAGATTGGCCGAGATTGGCCGAGATTGGCCGAGATCGGCCGAGATTGGGGGGAGCCCTCGGGGCCTATATGCTCGAGATTGGCCCAGATTGGCCGAGATTGGCCGAGATTGGGGGGAGCCCTCGGGGCTTGTGCTCGGAGATTGGCCAAGATTGGCCGAGATTGGCCGAGATTGGGGGTATCCCTCGGGGCTTGTGCTCGGAGATTGGCCGAGATTGCCCTCGCAATGTGTAGTGAGTACATCTCGCATCTCGGCTGCTGCACAGCGGTCGCCCATGTGGTACGCCACCACGCGCGCCGTCGCGGAGTGGACATGCATCAGCCTGCCCGAGGGAAGGGAGATATGGGGAGATCTGGGGAGATCTGGTCGCGGAGTGGACATGCATCAGCCTGCCCGAGGGAAGGGAGATATGGGGAGATCTGGGGAGATCTGGTCGCGGAGTGGACATGCATCAGCCTGCCCGAGGGAAGGGAGATCTGGGGAGATGTGGGGAGATGTGGGGAGATGTGGGGAGATGTGGGGAGATGTGGGGAGATGTGGGGAGGTGAGGGGAGGTGTGGGGAGATATGGGGAGATGTGGGGAGATGTGAGGAGTTGAGGGGAGATGTGGGGAGATGTGGGGAGATGTGGGGAGAGATGGGGAGATGTGGGGAGATGTTTGGGGGTGTTTAGAGATGTGGGGAGATGTCGGGTAGGTTCACCGTATTGTGTGGAGATGTGGGGAGATGTTGCCAGATTTGGGGATATTCGGGGAGATTTTGCGTAGATGTGTGGAGATGTGGCCCGATGTAGCCCGCTCCCCTGTGGGGGGGCCCCCCTCCCCCAATGGGCCCTTGAGTATGGAACGTTCGGCCCCCTCTAAAAAAGAAAACCGTTC